ATGACTGCAGCTGCTAATCCACTGACCTGAAGCATCAAGAAAATGCATGAAGAGGATCCAACAATCACAATACTCTCATTCTGATCTTAATTCATTCCATATAACCCACTGCAACCATTATTTGTGGGTAAGGTAATTCAGCACCTATCACATAAGATGTGCAAAATTGCTGAATAAGCTTTTAGAACCTATGCTGTTTCTCACTGTCTATTAGCAGACAAATTCACAATTTTGTGAATGTGACTGTAGCCTTGAGCTGCCAGATGTGCACACCATGGCTGGGCTGTCTCTGAGAGCCATGGATTGGAGGTAGAGACTTGCACAATGTGTGCCTAGTCAGTAGGCACATGTCCTACACACAGGTTGTATGGAAACAAAAATCTCCCTTTTATGTCACAGAAGGCATAGACTAGGAACTTATTACTAGTTTATGCAGTTATTACAGTTACAGTTCGAGTGACCTCTTTGTGCTGCAACCTATAGAATGAGCACTGACTGTTACAGAGCTGAGCTTGCCTCTTTAAATCTAAAATTGTTTTCCTCGGTGAGTGATATAACACAACATATAGGTTAATTTCTTCGAAAGGCCAACCCTACCTTTCCTCCCTCCGATTAAGGTAAATCCATTGAGTACCATTAAGTTGCCTAAATACCAGGTAATCACCATGTAACTGTGTGAATGCCAGACCAGAATGCATGTATACAAATGAAGCTGGAGATATGTAACTGGTTGCCTACCACAGCGCCAACAATTTGGAACAATTGAGGAAAAAACATAACCAAAACAGGGAGTATGATACCAAAAAGGTAAGTAGCTTATACGCTGCCAACAGGTGGCCATCAAAGAGAGATGTTTTAGGTATAAAGTGAAGTATCATGGTCAAGAATCCCTTCCAATCTGTCCATGAATGCTTAAGAACAAGCTTCCACCATTCACATGAGTTTCCCATAGATAGTTGAGACACAATGGGGGACTGGTACGTCTGAATTTGGAAGGCCTTCAATGGGTGTCAGTTGTCTAGTGAAGAGATGATGTGCCAGGAGTGATCTCAAATAGTGCAAGATGTAAACCATGATCACGACGTGCACCACAGAATAAATGGTAATGAAAATAAGGAAAAATAAAAGGTGACAAGTAAAATACACACACACACAAAAAAACACTCCATGAAAGAAAGGTACACTATCGTACTGAGGGGCTAGTTCATCCAGTCTTAACAAAGACTACTGTTAAGTGAGTCGTTGTGCAGCCACTATGTAATTGCTTTCTCACAAATTATAAATAATCTCAAAAAATTAAGAAAGGGGATATAGATCAAGGGGGAAAGGAAAAGGAGAGATGGAAGACAAAAGGGAAAGAGGAAGTGGGAAGGGAAGTAGAGCAAATAGGAAGGAAGTAGAAAGTAGGAGTCAAGTCCACCTAAAGCTTTTAGAGGAAAGGGAAGATGGAGTGCTCCAACAGCTCACCAATAGTATCTCACTTGGAAGTCATCCATAGTAGTATCTAAGATCCAATGCATCCAAGTCTTTGCATAACAGTCCATCTGGCCTTTGTAGAAACAATTGATCCCTCCACACTTTGCCCCTCCACTCTGTCCACCAAAAGAGGACACCCGCTCAGAGAGCCAGTATAGAGATATCAATATTCTGGCAGCAAGGATCTGGTGGCAGCCCACTGACTGCTTAAAGCCCAATATAGAAGACGGGATTTGACATATACCTAAATACCAGGTCATCACCATGTACCTGTTTCACAACTGTGTGGACCTTAGACCAGAATGTATGTATATAGATAAAGCTCCACCAGATGCAGAGATATGTACCCAGTTGCTGACCACAGCACCAAAAATATGGATCAATTGAGGGAAAAACCATAGCTAAAATGGTGTGATAACAAAAAGGTGAGTAGCTTATATGCAGCCTGTTGGAAATTGGTGGCCATCAAGGAGTAATGTTTTAGAGAGAGAGTCTTCTGTTAATCCTGGTCTGTATGGACATGGTCAAGGACCCCTTCCAATCTGCCCATAAATGCTTAGGAACAAGTTACCATCATTCCCATGAGTAACCTGTGGATAATTGAGACACAATGAGGGATTGGTGTATCCAGAGCTGCAAGACCTTCAAAGGTTTTCAGTTGTTTAATGAGGAGGTGATATGCCGGGAATGATTTCAAATAGTGGAAGATCCTATGTAAATGAAAATTCTCTAGTAAAAAGAACAGCTCTCTCTCCTTGGAGATCACCGAAGTCTAAAGATTACCACATAAGTCCAAATACAATAGCCTGGATTTAAACGGGCCACACAAAAGGTGGTGTAAGTAGGCAAGTAAAAGCACACTCTCAAATAGGATCTCTTTGTCTGTGCATTGTTCCGGATTTGTTATTCATCCTAATTCTTATTATATAAGAATCCAACTTTATATCTGTCTGCCCATTCATTAGTCCATTAATAAACATTGTTGTGAAATTCCAACTACATTATAGTGAAATACTTTTCAGAACAGCTTTCATACTTAAAAATAATTTTGTGCATAAATTATTAAAGGGTATAAATTGTAAATGGTAGCTGGAATAACTGAGATTTGTTGGGACAGTAATTCAAGGTGTTGTGCTTTCCAGGGAGTCCTAATCAAATGGGTATATAGATCAAGCCTACATGCATTTAACCTGAGAAGTGGTAAGGTGAATTCCATTATATAATGACTTCTATTTTGCACTAAATACACAATTATTACAAAGTTGGTAGTGATTATATTTTTCAAAAAACATCTATTAATATGTTTTCATTTTTATTTCAAATTATTGTTTTGAACAGTTTTTAAAATATTTTTTTTTTACAAAAAGGAATTAATGAAGGGAACAGGAGGAAAAAAGGGAGGATGGGGGGTGGGTGATGGACAATTCACCATTATAAAGAAAATCAATGAACTAATATTTCAACAGTGAGGAAACATTGCCCTGGAAGTTAGTATTAAAATGGTTAAAGAATAAAATGCAGTTATTTTATGGATAGAAATAAACAGTAACAATTCAGTAGAATTATTCAGCCTCCAGACTATGACTCATGCTTCCTTGTATATTTGACTTTTCCTTGTAACGGAATTATTCAAATGTTCTCTTATTCTCTTAAAATGTGTAGGCTGTGGATGGCGTAGGCTAGCATCAGGTACTGTGTGGCAATAGCTTGCTAATTGTGGGGGAGTCAGATGCACATACTGAGAAGTAAACTGCAATGAGTCATACACAGGGAAAAATAATTGCTTTTTTATTAAACAGTTGTCAGGTTAATTCAAAATTATGATTGATAGATAGATAGATAGATAGATAGATAGATAGATAGATAGATAGATAGATAGATACATATATAGATAGGTAGATAGATAGATAGATAGATAGATAGATAGATAGATAGATAGATAGATAGATAGATAGATTGATAGATAGATATATAGGTAGATATATAGATAGATTGATAGATAGATAGATAGTATTGGGATCATGTTACTTATTGATTGATATTGTTTTTATGAGAAGACTAGCTATCCTATACTTCACATTTATTTCTCTTCTTGGCCTCTAAGCTCTAATTAATATTATTGCCATGGCAAGAGAATGATGGATTCCTATGTGGCTGTCCCATATATGGGTGGGTGTCCCCCTTAATACTGGTTTCATTAGAAAATAGGTTTAGTCTGTGTGGTCAGTGGATTGCAGAACTCAATGCACCCTGGCGTTAGTAAATTATTGAAATTAACAGAAAAGGGCAGTGGCAACTAATGCTTATCAATGCATCCACCATTTAGTAAGTGCATTTTTCCTAGGTATAAAGGGATAGAAAGTTCATTGTAAAATGTAGTTTAATCTAGGGATGTATGTACAGGGTGGCCATTAGAAACTATGATGCCAGGACTGGATTTATACTTTGACAAACATTGTAATGATAATAAAACCCTATCTTTAGTTATTTAAATTTGCATAGGTATTAGGGATAATGCACAGTGGAGTTATGCTTAGGGGAAATGTTTTGGCTGAATAACTTGTGTATGAAATGGTGGCAAAAAAAAAAGCCAATACAAAGGGGGTGGGGAGGGAAGAGGCGGAGTGCCTGTGACTAAGTGGCTACTGAAAAAGACTAAACATACCCCAGTTTCAATACCTTGGGTTGTCTACTTTTTCAAATGGTATGCCATTATGGGGGTAATTCTCATTCCTGGGCTACCACACCGTCTCAAAGGTAACATTACTAATCAGTCAAATTTCAATTTGAAAATGGAACGTTCTATATTTGACCCTGTAACTTTCCAAAACACCATAAAACCTGTTAATGGGGGGTACTGTTGTACTCGTGAGACATCGCTGATTACAAATATGTGCATTTTATTGCAGTAAAACCTAACAGTATTATGACATTAACAGCTAAAATGTCAGACGGAAATACAAATTTAAAAAA